AAAAAATAAAAATGTAAATTAAATCGCACTGATTGTATACTTTTAATATACGCAATTGAAAATACCGGTAGTTCATTTTTCACACGAAAAAGAAAAACGAAATTTTACCGTTAATTTGCTTTGCTCTTATTTCTTTAATTTTAAAAGATGCCACACCTGTAAAAATAACGCCGGCTTTGCCTTGCATAGTATTTTTAGGCGAAACTCCTTTGTAAGTTGGCGGACTTCGGCCGCGCTTTTGATTGTAACCCTTAGCCGGACCAACACCGGGTTCGCCTTGCACAGTATTTTTAGGCGAAACTCCTTTGTAAATTCTGTTACCAGCGAAACAGGAGGTAAAAAAAATTCCTGGAATTCATTGAAGGTGGAGGAAAAAGTGAAAAAGGCATATGTTAACAAGTTGCGAGAAAAAAATGACCCTATTTGGAAAATTAAATAGCTATTTTATAATTACATATGTATGTGTGCATGTAAATATAGGCATTTATACTATGTAATACCTAAATCATGCACTAAGTCATTCTAAGAGAAGTAACTTCAAATATTTTCATTTATTCATAACCACAAACCATTCATACTACCAATCACAAAAATTACTCCTCTGTGTCTTTCTCTATTCAAAAAGTAATTTTCTATAAGAAGAAAAAGAAGCATAAATGCAACACAAACAACTACCGCATAGAAACATTCTGCCCTTTACTTGATTGCGCATTGCAGAGTATAGACTGTATATATGTACAGTGGCTCAAACGTATAATTGGACACTAAATCTAAAATTATTCAAGGACCTATTGTTCTCTTCAGTGTAAAAATTTGCAAAAAATTTTGATGCAGAGTTGTAGATTATTAAAAACTCCTTTAAAGCAATGTATAATACTTATAATCTTTTATTCAGATATATTTTTAAAATAAATAAGAGAAAAAACGAACAAAATTCTTGTCAAACGTATAATTGTACAGTCAAATATAAAATAAGAGTTTTAATATTTGGAAGCAAAACCTTTTGCTTTTATTACTGCTTCTAAATGCCGGGGCATCGACTGTACGAGATTGGCGCAAAATTCCGGAGATATGTAGTCCCACTCTCGTCTGATTCCCTGCTTTAACTGCCCTACTGTGTTGAAAGTAGATTTATAGAGCTTACGGGCAAGTTCTCAACGTTATTGAGTATGTTTGGGAGATGCTCAATATCGTTGAGATCTGGCGACTGTGCCGGTGTTTGCAGCAATTTTAGACAATTGTGAATGAGCCAGAGTTTTACAACATGTGAAGTATGCTTTGGATCGTTGTCCTGATAGAAAGCAAATTTGTCGAAAATCTTCAATTTATCCGCACTTTGCTTCACATTTTGCTTCAAAATGTCTAAATATTGGAATCGATTCATTTTACCATCTATAAAATGAATATTCCCATCTCCTGCAATAGAAACACATCCCCATACCATTACTGCACCTCCCCCATGCTGGACCGTAGCCCGGGTGTTGTTAGGCAAAAACTCAGTATTTGGCTTACGCCAAACGTACATCTTTCCATCTGACCCATGTAGGTTAAATTTACAATCATCAGTAAACAGCACCTAATAAATAAGTGAAAAGATTAAAAAATAAAAAGAATTTAACAAGTTTTTGCAAAATTACCTTGTTCCAAAAGTGAGAAACTTTTAACAAATACTCCTTACAAAATTTAACCCGTACAATTTTATTCTTCTTACTGATATATGGTTTTTTTCTGGCTATTCGCCCATTGAAATTATTTTTCTTTAACACGTTACGAATGGTCTCAGCACAAATCTCTTTTTTTAAAGTCGTGTTGACCATATTTCTTATTTCATTCGCCGTTGTAACTGGTTTTGTTTTTATTCCTCTCAGAATCCACCGCACATCATAGTCAGTTAATTTCTTTCCCTGGCCAATACGACTTTTATTTTCTAATTCAAAATTTTGACGATACCTTTGAATTATAGCATGCACTGTGGACGGGCGTCGGTCAACAATTTCAGCAATTTTACGCACGGATTTACCCTCTCCATATAATCTAATATTTAAATGCCGCGTTTTTAAAGTTGTTTGTTTTTTTCTTTGATCCATTTCAATTTTGATCCGCACTTTGAAAACTACATTTGCATACTGATTTATCATTTGCATTGGAATTAATATCAACTCACTCAGAGGAAAAATAACGGATCCAAAGAACCGTTTTGCAACAATATTTCGTAACCTACATTAAATGTCCAATTATGCGTTTGACAAAAATTTTGTTCGTTTTGTTCTCTTTTTTAATTTAAAAATATTTTTGAATAAAAGATTATAAGTATTACACATTGCTTTAAAGGAGTTTTTAATAATCTACAACTCTGCATCAAAATTTTTTGCAAATTTTTACACTGAAGAGAACAATAGGTCTTTGAATAATTTTATATTTAGTGTCTAATTATACGTTTGAGCCACTGTACATGCATTGCATGCGAAGATACGTCAGAAATCGGTTTTACGTGCGGCTCTAGATGTTTCTCATAAATCAGTAAAAGCTCTGCCGAAAATCGCTCTAGCAGATACAAAGCGCCAATTATATACATACATCTCGTAAACTCAAAATGCAAACACAGCGTTTACGCTTGGTGCAAAAGGCCTAAATGGGGACGTTTTATTATTTTTTTATGTTAAGAATTATTATATTATATTGCGAAATGTCCACATACATAAATAAATGTACATAGGTAGCATCTGATGTGCAAACCACTTTTCTTGTGCTCTGTAGGGGAATTTCGAATCGTTAAAATGGATCAACGATAATTTTCACGATTTCGCTATACTCTACATACTTTATAACGACTTTCGATTCAAAAAGAAGACTTAGCGATAGTTCTTACGATTTTAATATTCGGTGACTTATTTTAACGATATTCGCTGTAGTAAACTACTCGACAAATCGCTAACTAAGCGACGAATATTTTTAAGTTGTTAGCGATATGGACAAAATAATATTTCATTAAGGGTAAAATAAAGTAAAGTAAATCGGCAAATTGGCTAAGGTATACAAACTCCAAATAAAATTATAAACAAAAATAGCATTTGACACACGTTTAATCCCAAGACGAGGAGGTATTATACACTTCATCATTGGATAGGAGTTGGAAATTTAAGATCGCTTCTACTTGAATGCAACTGAGTTTTTTAACAGCCAACTTAAATGCAGAAAATAACAACATTATCTACGGAGAAACAGATAGTAATATAGCTTTTAAATATTTTTCCAGTTTTTACACTTTAAAAGTTTTTAAAGGTTCTAGCAGTCTTCCGATTCTTTGCAACTGGACGTCATAAAGCAGTTGGGAATACCCATAAGCCAGTCGCCAGTCAACCTTTCTATGTTTCCTGCGAAGGTGAGATTTTCCATTACGTGACCATTTGCTGGAGGAACAATTAGGGCTATCGATTGCGAATAAGCCTATGCCAACCTTAATGAATACCATTCTACCAACGAGCAAATGGTGACAGTAAATTTTTTTCAATTACTATTGAAGTAGCAAAGTTCGTTATATTTGTACATAGATATCGCAAGATTATAGTGGCAATTGCCAAGTACCCAAGAGCGCAGCACAATTATTTTATTTGGAACTCCTCTATAGAGCGAAGAGTCATGTATGAAAGTGCAAATCATAACATGTTTTTGTTTTGATAAACTTTGTAACACATTGCTATTCCTTTAATAAAAAATAATTTCTATAACAAATTTATTTGTTTTTGTCCTTCCTCTTTGTACTTCTCACATATTTTGACGTTTTGTTAAGTTGTGGAGCCACCTTTCCCTCATGTTAATAAAATGGAAAACGGTCGTTTCCATAGATTATACGCGCCAGCGATAAAATTCGAAGCTTTGCGATCCGACAAACCGTGTCGATAAAAGTTACAGAATCGCACTGCTGGTATACTTAATGATGTGTAGTTTAGACCTTCTACGAACAACTGTTTTGTGCTAGTTATACAAATTGGAAGTGCGACGAAATCTTACAATTATAGTGATGATATGTATATATGTATGTACATATGTCCTTTTTGTAGAATATCGGTACTTAAAGTTATACATTCAATACCAATGGTTTTATTGATTTATTTAGGTAACTTTCTTTTAATTTTATCGGCTGCACTGAACTTGTTTGCAATTTATAGAATTTATGTGCAAAGTACACTACCACAATATTGTATATGAATAAATTATCTACTCATACTAAAAATATTTTAATTTTAGATAATGAATTTTATTTGCTATTACCAACAATGTGTAAATTTTACGCAAAGTTATGTATGTATATAAATTATGACTCACTTTAATATCTTCAACTGACCACATCTCCTGTTAATATTGTTACGATTTTACTAAATCAACCTCGATTATTTTCTAGATCCTTCGGGTACGATCTCTGGATTGTTAAATAAAAACTCGCCAACTTAATTTGCAGTCTCTTTCGTTATAAAGAATTAATCTAATGTTCTTTATTTTCTCAGTAATTCACAATTCAATTATACTGCACTTTACTATTTATAATCACTAACATCAACTTTCACAATTTACTCTACTTAAATGTAATTCCCAACGCGTTCACTTTACGTCTTCACTGATGTTAACGCCAACCAATTTGCTTTGTCACTGCTTGACTTGCAGCTGAGTGTCGCCTTTATATAGCAGTCGGCTGCTCGCAGACGAAAGCGTAGAAGCATCGAATTGTTCGCTATGGAAGGTTCTTGTTTTATCGTTTCTAGAACGTACTAGTTATCGGCTTCTCTCTTTCATCTGACATTCGCCTCGCATTATCGCAACAATATGTATACGAAAATAATACTTTCTACAACCATTGCCGTCAATCGGCTTTTAGTTTCTTTCAACTTTTTGCAAAATGTTTTTAGCCCTCGAAATAGCCCCATTTAATTACTTAATTTGAAAAAAATATTTGTGTGGTGTATTTTATTTATAAAATTTGTTTACGGTTTTAGATTTGAAAAATGTATTTACCATATACACAACTTCCCGATCCCACGGAGAAATTTGAGATCTATGAAGAAATCGCTCAAGGAGTCAACGCCAAGGTATTTCGTGCCAAAGAATTGGAAAATGATCGGATGGTAGCATTAAAAATTCAGCACTATGATGAAGAGCATCAGGTGTCAATTGAAGAAGAATATCGCACGTTACGCGACCATTGTAATCATCCAAATCTTCCAGAATTTTATGGTGTTTATAAACTTGAGAAAACAAATGCTCCTGACGAGATATGGTTTGTAATGGAGGTAAGTTCGAATAATATTTTATAGAAAAGTGCATTTTACTTCTACGCATTTATGTAGATATATTTTTTTTCAATATGTGTCTTTTCTTCAAAATGTGTGCTTTCTATAAAAACTCCTTGAACGGATATTGTCCTATATTCCATGTCAGAATCTCTGTCGTTCGCAACAGTGGATTTAAAATTTTTAAAATGCAGTTTTCTTCACACTATACGACAATCCTGTCATACTTTCAACTAATTTTTCGAATATTCCTTTGGGAATATTAATTCACTCTTATTCAACACCAAATATCGTACAAGTTCGATGGGGATGATTGATACCGCCCGAGCTGTCGCTTTACGACTAACCATAGGTATTCAATCGGATTGAGGTCGGGACTATGCGCTGGCCACCTCATCATCTTAAAATTTTGGTTACCGATCCATTTTTTCGCAGTGTGCTTGGGGTCCCCGTCATGCTGAAAAGTTATTTCCTGCTCTAGGTACGCACACTGGTCAAGAAAATTGGGAAGATGGGTTTGCAAAATGCTCAAGTACTCTTCTTTTTGCATAATCACATGCGATTACAGAAAAGGTTGTATTTTTATTTTCTTTGGTTAGCAGTAAAATATTATTTTATTTTTGTACATTATTTCGATGTGATTTGCAAGAGAAATGTCCGATAATAGCAATAAGTGGTTGTTGCTATATGGCATAAAAATAAAAATACACTACTATACAGGGTTGTATGTACAAAAACAAAACAATGTTATGCCATAAAATATTGTGCAATGCGAAGCCGGCGTTGTTTTTCCGGGTGTGGCAACTTTTAAAATTCTTTTTTCGTTACCGTTATATTCAATAGAGTATATTAAAAGTGTCAAATCAGTGCGATTTATTTTACGCTTCTATTTTGTTAAAAAAACTAATTCAAATTTTATTAAAATGAGTGATACCGAGTATGGTAAGTCTAATTGCGTTTAAAATTTTATGAATATACATATGTGTACTGAGCATAATTCTTTATAGAGTCTGATGTTCCATCTACCAACGCAGTGGCAGCAAAACGGATGCGGCTTAATGCAGACGATTTCCGCAATATGTAAAGCATACATATGATGTGGGACAATTTGGGGAACGTCGAGCAATGCATCGCATTTATAGAGGAGCATGGGCTACTGCTACGGAATTTTGTGTCCTTCTCATAGGACGCCCATGTCCTTAGTGAAAAAAGGAAATGACGTTCTCGGCAGTTTTTGGTGCCGCAAAGGAAAGTGTAGGGAGAAATCCAGCGTGTCAAGGGCAAAAGGCACCTGGTTTGAGGAGTCTCGCCTATCCTTCCCACACGCTTTTTATATATTATTTTGCTTTGCGCATAAAAAATCACAATTCGACGTAATGCTCGACGGTGACGTTGGCGAGCCTTTGTTGAGCCGGACCATCACGACCAGCAAATTTGGGAATAAGAAGTATAATAAAGGTAATAGTTGTATATATTGTTATTATATAGGCCTTAACATTGTTTTCAATTTATTTTTAGGAAGGAGGGTCGAAGGGTTCTCGGAATGATCTAGGACGGTTCGGAGAATCTACGATTGGAGGTGTGCCCGGAAAACGTGCGATCGGTAGAGGTGCTCGTACCACTGATGCAAAAATACGTAGCTGAAGGGACAATCATACATATCGACTACTGGAAAGCGTATAATTGTCTCTCCAGCTACGGGTACGAGCACCATAACGTTAACCATAGTTATCCGGAAAACTCGTTTTTGGAACAGGATGGCACACATGTTCTAAGGATTGAGACTTAGTAGAGAGTTGTAAAACGCTTTTTCAAAAAGATAACTACGATAATCCGGCTAATTACGCCGAAAATCATAAAAAAAACAGGGAAGACCCCTTCTTAAAACTTTTAGAAGTTGACAAATATTCATGTATAGCCTGGAAGTTCTTTTCTAGTAGTTTTATTTTAGAATTTCTTTTTTATATGGGGCAACTCCAAAATTTACTGAAATGACTTTATCTACGAAACAATACTAATTTTTCCCAAAGTCTAGAACCATAAAGGAAAAGCATCTCATAGATAATTAAATTGTTATTAAAAAAAAACCAATATTAATAACTTCATCACTTTTTTGTTGCGGTAAATTTAATTTACTTCTCAGAGGGTTGGAAGAGATGCAAATTTGTTTTAAAAATGGACATTTTATAAATTATAAATTTAAACCTTCTGTAATAATAAATATTGTATTTACATTACATTATCATCCATAACACTGAATATTCATATTTTTTTTTGAATCTTCATCAACTTTTACCTAAAAAATATTTAGTCCGGCAACACACCCAGAGCAAATATGTGTGCGTGAAAAAGTCAGCCTGTATATGTATGTGAAAAATATGAGTTTTGTTACTTGTACGTTACTAGGCTGTTTTTGGACTTTTTTGTTCTCTATTTTAGGATTGTAATGTGCTTTTCGAGTTAGCGTTAATGTTGGAAGCTGATACATAATGTCAATTAATTGTTTGCAAAATGAACTTTTGTTAAAAAGGCGAGTAGGCAAAGGGGTCCAACTATTAAAAACGCTCTTATTAAGGTCAGTTAGGAAGAGTGGAACAAAATACTTGAATATTATGAATTAAACAACCTTATTCAGTCCATGCCTCGTCATCTTCGAGCTGTTATAGATGCAAGACTGCTATATTTTCCTAATTTTAATTATATTTGCAATAATTATTTACAAAAGGCAAACAACTAATTGACACCACAATATTTGCTGAATTTTGAATTTTTATATCTTTTTTTTTGTCTCTGTCTCTGTTCTCTGGCTGAATTTTGAATTTTTATATCTTTTTTTTTGTCTTGAATTCTGGAATTTCTGTGTATTATTTATTTCAAGATTACTAAGACTAATATAATTTAAAAGAAAGAAGTTAAAGAAAATTGTTTTAGTTAATAAAAATCAAGTTGCAAAATGAAATTGTTGGATATTTCTCATTTTGCAAACAATTAACATACATACTCAATATTTGACATTGTTTTCTCACTCTCACTCACTTTCAGTAACTTTGGCCTACCGCTCGTTGTCGTATTTTGTAAATAACTGTGTCGTTCCCTATTAACCAAAGCTGCATCGCAACGATAAGTCTCACGTTAATCGTAAAACTTTAATCTCTTCGGTTGTAATAGGGACATACTCTTCCTGGCAAAACTGGGTAAAAAAGTAGATAACTTGAAGAAATGGTCGCTCAAAACTGGTTAAAAATCTAGATAACGGCATAGGAATATTTTTGAAGACCGTACTTTCTTATTGCATCCTATCATTTTACTTCGTAAGAAAAATTTCAATCCTCGATAATTGTAAATTTTTTAACATTAGCATAACGCTCAAAATGAAATACAGTGGCTCACAGCCAAAGAGATGCAGCTAACTAAGAAAATTTAAATACATTTCCAAAAAAAAAAAAAAAAAAAAAATTAGTCCCAGTTAAAAGCCGCAGATACAGAGAACGTAGAATATGGAGAAGGTGCAAGTACGGATCAGATTGAAAATTGTCAAAAAGCACGATTACTTCGTTTCACGTTATCGTACCACACTCCTCACATAATTCGTAAATATTGCTGTTAATTAATTGAATTGAGCGCAACAGTAAGCTAATTATTTGATAAAAAAATACTGAATTTTGCCGTCGGCATTTTGATTTTTACATATGTACATTTATACGCCTAACTCAATTTAATTCGAATTGAAATATGAGGTGTACAAAAAGTGCTTACAGATATATTATTAGTATAAAGTATTGTCCTTCGCTAGTGACAACTTTCTTCCACCTTTCCGGCAATTTTTGGATCCCGGCTCGAAAAAAGGTGTCCTCTTTTGACGCTATCCATGAAGCAATCTATTTTTCCAATTCGTCGAAGGATTGAAAATGTTGATCTGCCAGGCCGTGTGTCATCGAACGGAATAGGTGGGTTTAGAAGGGGCGACTTCTGGGGAACACGGCGAGAGGGGTAAGACTTCCTATTTCAGCGTTTCCAGGTACTTTTTGACCACTTTTACGACGTGAGGTCGGTTTCAACTCGTACGGCACCGAGTTTCCTTCTTTCTGAATCATGCCCAGGGCCGTGAGACGTTTTGAAATGGCTTGCTGACTCACTCCCAACGATTCGGCAAGCTGTTTTTGGATTTGGCACGAATCTTCATCAAGCAATGCTTCTAGTTGTTCATCTTTGAAGGTTTTTTCTCTTCCATTTTTAAAACGTTGGAACCACTCCCGACACGTTCTTTTACTCAGAGCTCTTCAGCTGTATTTTTTTTTTCGAATTGTAACAGTAAAGTAAAACTTCCCGCAAATGGTGAGAATTTTCAAGCGTGAATAATACGAAAACAAGAACAACTGTCACTGAAACGGCGATGACAATTCGTTAGGCACTGTCCACACTCACTTTAAAGGCATTACCAGCTATGTATTTCAACCAACCTCAGCCAGACCAGCCACCTATCGGAAAACGGCGGAAGCAAAGTTGTACACCTGATATCATCACCATCGTTTTCAGAAGGCCAAAATCTACATCGCACCTATAAATAATTCATGGTTGTATTCCTAGTAGAACGGAAATTATTCACATAAAACATACCAAAATTTTATTGGGGACATATGAAAATCTCAACTTTCAAATTTCTCTCCTGAAAACTTTGAAAGATAAACTTACGCATGCAATCACATTAGTATATGAAAAAATGTGTTTTCTCTGTTTTCTAAGCTTTGGCTCGTGGCAAAGTACACACACCCTAATGCATGCATATAAAAATACTTACTATCAAATATAATCTACACAATATATTGAAATAAAAAATCGTATTTGTGCGCATAAACAGTTAATTTTATTAAAAAAAAACTAAGAAAAGAATTCGGCAAGAGCTTTGAAGTTGACATACATATTCATATGTATGTTAAGTCAATTTCTACACGATTTAATCTGATTAACACATTCAATTAAAATAACTAGGCTCAGTGAAC